ATCCCCTCGGGGGTGCTTCAGGGGCCCCACGTTGAGTACTCAGGAGTTATCCACGTTTCCCGTACTCCCCGCCCTGAACGCGGACGAAGGGAGGATTGAATGAAAAAGGACAGGGGAAACCCCAAAAGCAGTTTAAGGAAGCGGGAAATGTTAAATCGTGGGGGGGGCGGTGTGGTAAAAAACCGGGCCGGCAAGACACAGAGGCCAAAGGGGAGCGGCTTAGTCGAAATCGAGTCACGGAAAGGGGACAAGAAGGGAAAATCATGGGGTAGACAAGTAGAGATTAACAACGGGATCAAAAAAAAGGCACAGGTGGATCCCGGGGTATCAAAAAAAAAACTCTCTCTCTCCAAAACAAAAACTTGCAGTCACAAAAACAATACTTTCTCACCGTGAAATTCTGGCACCCCTTATCCTACCCTAAACGGACAGGTTCTAAACTCGGGGTGAACCCAGACATTTGTAAACAGCCCCGGGGAGAAGAGGGCTGCCTTTTACGCCCTCTAACCAACCCTAACCAAAATTGTACATTATGTTTTTTTTCGCGTTATTTGTAATTTATTTTGTACATAATGTTTCGTGCCATCGTCTCTTATAACCAAAAAGAGCTTCTGGATATCAGGACAGCGATTACTCACCTCGCATTGGACGAAGATTTTTTCTTCAACGAGGCGGCCCGCGAAGGATATCATTACAGGACACCCGACAAGGCCCAAATCCCCGTTCATTGCGTGAGGAAGAGACGGAGATATTGCGGACGCAGATCCGGGTGCCTTGTAAGGATCCGACGGCGAGCGAGTAAACTGCCTCTTCCATCAATCCTATTAGCCAACGTTCAATCTTTTGAGAATAAAATGGACGATTTAAGATTACGGTTATCCTACCAACGGGATATTAAAAAACTGTAATATCTTATGTTTCACCGAGTCGTGGCTGAACGACAACAATGATAACATTCAGCTAGCAGGCTATACGCTACATCGGCAGGACAGAACGGCTGACTCTGGTAAGACAAGGGGTGGCGGTCTGTGTATATTTGTAAACAACAGCTGGTGCACAAAATCAAATACTAAGGAAGTCTCGAGGTTTTGCTCGCCTGAGGTAGAGTATCTTATGATAAGCTGTAGACCACACTATTTACCAAGAGAGTTTTCATCTGTATTTTTCATAGCTGTCTATTTACCACCACAAACCAATGCTGGCA